CACTCCACATGATATCAAGAAACAGTAGGAGACACTGGATACTGCAAAGGCAATGGGCTCTGACAACATTCTGGCAATAGTACTGAAGCCTTGTGCTCCAGAACTTGCTGCTCCCCTAGCCAAGCTGTTCCAGTACAGTTACAACATTGGTATTTACCCGACATTGTGGAAAATTGCCCAAGTATGTCCTGTACACAAAAAGCAGGACGAATCCAACCCGTCCAATTATCGCCCCAACTGACTACTCTCGATCATCAGTGAAGTGTGGAAGGTGTCATCGACGGCGCTATCAAGCAGCACCTGCTCAGAAATAACCTGCTCAGTGGTGCCCAGTTTGGGTTCCGCCAGGGCCACTCAGCTCCTGATCTCATTACAGCCTTGGTTCAAACATGGACAAAAGAGCTGAATTCCAGAGGTGAGGTGACAGTGACAGCCCTTGACATCAAGGCTTCATTCAGCCTAGCGTGGCATTAAGGAGCCCTGGCAAAGCTGGAATCAATGGGTATCAGGGGGCAAACTCTCCAATGGTTGGAGTCATACCTGACACACAGGAAGATGGTCATGGCTGTTGGCGGTCAATCATCTCAGCTCCAAGACATCTCTGCAGGAGTTCCTCAGGGTAGTGTCCGAGGCCCAACCATTTTCAGCTGCTTCATCAATGACCTTCCCTCCATCATAAGGTCAGAAGTGGGGATGTTCGCTGATGATTGCACAATGTTCTGCACCATTCGTGACTCCCCAGTTACTGAAGCAGTCCATGTTCACATGCAACAAGATTTGGACAATATCCAGGCTTGGGCTGACAAGTGGCAATTGACATTCGTGCCACACGAATGCCAGGCTATGACCATCACCAATAAGAGACAATCTAACCACTGTTCCTTGACATTCAGTGAATCCCCCACTATCAACATCCTGGGGTTTATCATTGACCAGAAACTCAACTGGACTCATCACATAAACACAGTGTCTACAAGAGCAGGCCAGAAACTAGGAATACTGTGGCGAGTAACTCATCTCCTGGCTCCCCAAAGCCTGTTTGCCATCTACAAGGCACAAGTCAGGAGCATGATGGAATATTCCTCACTTGTCTGGATGAGTGCAGCATCAACAACACTCAAGAAGCTTGACACAATCCAGGACAAAGCAGCCCACATAATTGGCACTACATCCACAAGCATTCACTCCCTACACCACCGACGCTCTGTAGCAGTGTGTACTATCTATCAGAAGCACTGCAGAAATTCACGAAAGATCCTCAGACAGCACCTTCCAAATCCACGACCACTTCCATCTAGAAGGACAAGGGCATCAGACATATGGGAACACCACCACATCCAAGTTCCCCTCCAAATCACTCACCATCCTGACTTGGAAATATATCGCAGTCCCTTCACTATCACTGGGTCAAAATCCTGGAATACCCTCCCTAATGGCATTGTGGATCAACCTACAGCAGGAGGACTGCAGCAGTTCAAGAAGGCAGCTCAGCACCACCTTGTCAAGGGCAACTAGGGGTGGGCAATAAATGCTGAACAGGCAGCAACACCCACATCCCACAAATGAATAGAAAAAAGAAGATAGAGTGGGCTGAGTCTAAGTAGAGTTTTAAACACAAGAAGGAAAATTTCATTTTGAAGAGTTTGATAGACTGGGCATCAATGTACACCAGCGAAGACAAAGGGCTAATCATGATTTGGTGTGGGATAAGAATATGAGTACAGAGTTTTGGATGAATCACTTTACAAGGAAACAAGATAGAGAAAGTCACAGAGTTATACAGCCCTTTGGCCAACTATTCCATGCTGACCAACAAACATCAAACTACACTAATCCCATTTACCTATACTTGGTCCATAGCCTACTATGCCCTGGCACTTTAAGTTTTCATCCAGCTGCTTTTTAAATGGGAGATTACCTGCCTCCCACCACCCTCTCAAGTTGCACATTCCAGATATCTGGCACCCTCTTGGACGTGTTGCGAGACATTAGAGTTTAGGCATAGTCAAGCTTGGAGGTGCCAAAGGGAGTGTAAATGACAGCTGGAATGAGGCAGGGGTGAGAATGAGTAAATATTAGAGTCATGGAGATCTACTGTACAGAAAAAGGCCCTTTGGCTCATCGAGGCTGTGCCAAGTCAAAAACAACCACCGAACTATTCTAATCCCAATTACTCGCACATAGCCCATTGCCTTGCATGCTTTGGCATCAGAAGTGTACATCTAAATATTTCTTAAATGTTTTGAAGGTTTCTGCCTTTACCAGCCTTACTGGCAGTGATTTTCAGATTCCCACTACCTGCTGGGTGAATAGTTTTTTCTTCATACCCTCTCTAAACCTCCTGGCCCTTATCTTAAATCTATGTCTCCTGTCATTGATCCCTTCATCAGTGGGAAAGGTTTCTTCCTGTCCACCCTGTCTATGCCCCTCATAATTTTAAACATCTCAATTATGTTTGTCCTCAGTCTCCTCTGCTAAAAGGAGGTAGATGTTGGTGGTCTCTGTGATAAGAATGACGACCTTCCGAATTGGAAGTTGCAGAGGCTGCCAACATGTGTCAATCTTTCCCTGCATTAAACCATATTATGTTCATGAATCCCACTGAAAAATTAAAATTAGTGTCCAAAAATCATTTCTGAAAAATTGATTAAGCTCATTATCATTAGTGGGCCGGGCAAAAAGCTTTTTAACACAACGGTTTGCAGATATATGTTTAACATACTGAAGAGAAGTAGAAAGAGTTTAAACTCAGCAAGACTAAGAACAGACATTAGACAATTCTATTCCTGGAGGCAGAAAGTGCTGCAGAAACTCAGGAAGTCTGGCAGCAACTGTGGGTAGAAAGCAGGCTTAATGTTTCAAGTTTGGTGACACTACATCAGTCCTGTCTCATCACCAGACTCAAAATGTTAACTCTGCTTTCTTCCCACAGATGCTGCCAGACTAGGTGAATTTCTTCAGCAATTTCCGTTTTTTTGTTTTCCATCCTCGGCATCCGCAGTCCTTTGATTTATTCTATTCCCGGAGTATAGTGTAGTGCTGGAATATATCGCTGATTGCTATGGTAAATTGTGACTCTCTGTGCGGCCTTCTAAAGGGAGCTGGACTGCTTTTTGGCTTTCTACGTAAATGCCTTTATGGGTGGCCAGAGATCCTTTTAATTTCGTGGACTGGTTTTCATTGTATTTGGAAATGAGTTTACCAGAGAGTGGGTTTTTCCCCTTACTGTTTCGTATTTGATTTATTCCCATTTTTTGCCCCTCCCAGGAAATTGCACAATTGTGGTGAGGAATATCAGGATGAGAAGAGAAAAAAAAAGCGTTACATTTTAATGGCTAGTCATTATGTTGTGGGGTAGGAAGAATGGATCAACTGGGTCTTTCCTGTGTCATTTTCTTATATTTGCATATTCATATTGTAGATAACCTTCAAGCTCATTCAATTTAAACCCTCCCTGTATCTCTTTGTTATTGTATTCCTCTTTGTCTTGTACTGTATATATGTGTATGTATATATATATAAATATATATATATATTATACAACATGGTTCTTTCTCCTCACACAACTTAAAATTATGTGGCTGGCCATCTGTTAGTCTTGAATCAGAATTTATTCATCTTCTCCCTGGTTGGAGTATTTACAGAAGGGACTGCAGATTGATACGGAGCTTCATCAATCTCTCTGATCTACTTTTTGACACACTTTGATAAATTTACAGAATGGCACTCATTGTTCCATGAAACACCTGTGAACCTGATTAAGTAACTGCTTGGAGATTCTCACTGGTGACAGGTGGGAATGGGCGAGAATGGGGTTTGTGAACTATAGTTTACAAAAAGTGAAACCTGTCCCATTCCACCATGAACTTGTCTGCTTCTGGTTTATCTGGAATGGGTTTGGGTGGAGTCAGGGTTCCAGTGCAGGGCTTTTTCTCATGAGGAAAGACTATAATTTAAATAATTAACGGAGACCACACACTTCAGATATTTTGCAGGCACGGTTTCATGGTTCTTGGCCAAAATTGGCAGGGCTCATAAAATGTGACAGCTAAACGGAGTCAAGAACAGCTTACTTTAGTAAGTATGTGCTTTTGTATGTCCAAGTATGTCCAGCACTGCTTGTGGGTCAGGCAGAGTAGGAGAGCTGGGTCTCTGAGATTCATTAAGCCTCCTGAACATCTACCCCAACAGTCTCCAAGTTAACCTGGAACCTAGTACCACCCTTACCTTCCCCAGGGCAATGTGTTAACTCCTTGTAATCCATCTCTCTCTGTTCTCCATTCATTCCATCCCCTGGCAGTGGTCTTCTTCCAGACAAACTGTGAACTTTCAATCTGGAACAACCAACGCAGGAAACATGAGAGATAAAAGGATATATTCAAATGAAATCCTGCTGTTAAATTTAATAGTTCAACAATTCACCAACTCTTGGGATTCCTAGCCATTGAAATTCTGTCCTGTCCTCCATAAAACAAATATCAGAGGCTTAACATCCATTTGATGGCTCAAAGGTCTCTACTTTGATTGGACAGTTAACAACTTAATAACCATCAATTCTTGCATAAGTGCACGTGTCAATGCAGCCAGTTGCCTTTAATCCCACATCAGTTTGTCTCTGGTACCTTCCAAATTTGTACTCCTATTAATCTATTTTTATTTGTAGCACTAGTAGACCTCCCAGAATATTGCTCATTGTAAGTCCTGGACAAGAACAGTGCAGTACACCATGTGAAATTCATTGTTCTGCTGTTAAGGAGGAGCAACGTTGAAAGTATCGCAACTGTTTACAATCACTAGTAAATGAGTACTTTCAAGATAGAATGTTTTCTGTTACCAGGATAGTTTCTATGAGATGGCAAGTTCTTTTCTGTTTTAAAAAAATTATGATGTAACTATGCATGTACGTAAGATACCTTTCAACACTGATTTCTCATGATCTCAGGGCGTGAGTGATTTTACAATGAAAGGAGTAAAAGAACACCTTTTTTATTCATTTACAGAATGATGGCATCACTGGCAGGTATTTTCCATCCCGAATTGCCCAGAGGACTGTCAAGAGTCAACCACATTGTGGGTCTGGAGTCACATGTAGGCCAGATCATGTAAGGATGGCAATTTCCTCCCCTAAAGGATACTGATGAACCAGATGGGTTTTTCTGACAAATCAGCAATGGTTTCATGGTTATTATTAGACTCTTAATTCCAGATTCCACACAATGTATAATAAGAGAAATAATCTTTCACAGAATTGTGTACTAAGGGAAATAATTTTCTTCCAGTAACTGCTTCTTTCCACAATCTAATTTTTGGTCATTCTCTTCATCATTTGTTCTATTGGTCATTCTGTATTTCAGAATGTGTGTCACACATTGATCTAAGTTGTGGTCTCGATAACATTTTTGGTATTGTTGACTAATACAAAATATTGACAGAGTTTGCAGAGTTAGGAAAATGCTAACTTCACTGAAACATGTCTAACCATGGGCAACATTTTACCACAAGGTTGTACAAACAGAGCAAGATCATGTGACAATCATTTCCTGTGATGATGTGCACCATCAGATTAGCATACTGCACAGTTAAAATTAACTCCTCATAACTACAGTCTCCATTAGTTGTCAATATTCTTGCCTCTCTGTTTTATTCCTTTTCTATATTTTTCCAGACAGTTCTCATAGACACTTAGTGCTTATCTCCTGCAAATGTTCCAGCCCAGGAAATGTTGGAAGATGGAAGGCCATAGGCAGTAAATTAAAAGGTGTGATCTGACTGAAAGATGGTGTAACATGGAGGGTTAAAAATAAAGCATGGATTTGAGGTCCAACCTGGAAGGGTGAATGGGTTCTGAGGCTTGTGTGACCTGAAGGAAGCCAGAAGCTGGACTAAGCACAGAAATGGAACAGGGGAACGATAATCTGCCAGGAGTAAAGTACTGCAAATGCTGGAAAATGTGAACTAAAAGCAGAATTTGATGGCATTAGACAATAGGTCAGGAAGCATCTGTGGAGATAAACAGGGTTGACAGTTTAATTTGATCACATAGAAACCAGGGGCAGGAATAGGCCATTCAACCCTTTGAGACTGATCCACCATTCAATATGATCATGGCTAATCCTCTGTCTCAAGGACATATTCCTGTCTTTTCTCCATACCCCTTGATGCTTTGAATATCAAAAAATCAATTTCTTTCTTCAATATACTCTGTGACCCAGCCTCCACAGCCTTCTGCGGTCAAAAATCCCATAGGTATACCACACCCCAAATAAAGAAATGTTCCCTTACTTCCCTTTTCTCAGTCCTAAATGACCTACCCCACATCTGAGACTGTGACCCCTCATTCTAGACTCCTCAACCAGGAGAAACATCTTCTCTGCATCTCGTCTGTCTATCCCTGTTAGGATTTTACACGTTTCAATGAGATCCCCTCTCACTCATAAATTCTGACAAATACAGGCCCAGTTGAATTCATTACTCCTCAGTGGTACCATTTCTAGTATCGGCCTAGTGAACCTTTTCTGCACTCCTTCTATGTAAAAGATATCTTCTCTTAGGTAAGGAGATCAATTTGCACGTAATACTCCAGATGTGGTCTCACCAAGGCCTAGCATAGTCACAGTAAGATATCCCTATATCCAAACTCAAATCCTTTTGTAATGAAGGCTAACAATCAATTTCCTAATTGCTTGCTGCACCTGCCTGTTTATTTTTATTGACTGTTGTACAAGGATACCCAGATTTGATTGCACATCCACACTTCCCAATAGATCCCCATTTCTGTTTTTCAAAGCAAAGCGTACAACTTTACATTTATCCATGTTCCACTGCAGCTGCCATATGTTTGCCCACATATTCAACTCGGCTAGAATGCCCTGAAGCTGCTTTGCATCCTCCTCATGCAGTTTCTGCTACCTCACAATCCCACCTAGTTTTGTGTCATTGGCAAACTTAGATGAGAGAACCAAATGCGATATTTCCAAGACATAGAGTCATAGAGCCAAAAAGCGTGGAAACAGACCCTTCGGTCCAACTCATCCATACCGAACAGATATCTTAAATAAATCTAGTCCCATTTGCCAGCATTTGGCCCATATGCCTCTAAACTTTTCCTATTCATGTACCCATCCAGATGCCTTTTAAATTTTGTAATTGTACCAGCCTCCACCACCTCCTCTGACAGCTCATTCCATACATGCACTACCCTCTGCATGAAAAAGCTGCACCTCATGATTTTATAAACCTTTCACCTCTCACCTTAAACCTATGCCCTCTAGTTTTGGACTACCGCATCCTGGGAAAAAAAAAACCTTGTCTATTCACCCTATCCATGCCCATCATGATTTTATAAGGTCACTCCGCAGCCTCCGACGCTCCACAGAAATTAGCCCCAGCCTATTCAGCCTCTCACTACACTTCAAGGCAGCATCAGAGGAGCAGGAATGTTGATACTTCGGGTCGGGACCCTTCTTCAGAAACCCAAAATGTCAACTTTCCTGCTCCTCCGATGCTGCCTGGCCTGCTGTGCTTCTCCAACATTCTTGTAAGTCTTTTCTGAACCCTTTCTAGTTTCACAACATAACTCATATAGCAGGGGGACCAGAATTGCATGTAGTATTCCAAAAGTGGTGAGCTTCTTCACTGTCCACTACACATCCAATTCTGGTGTCATCTGCAAACTTACTAACCATACTTCCTATGTCCATATTCAAATCATTTATATAAAAGTCATTTCTATATATTGTGCGTAGCTGGGATCCAAGTACTGATCCCAGTAGTACACCACTAGTCACTTCCTTTACCTAGAAGAAGACCCATTTATTCCCATTCTCTGTCTCTAGTCTGTAGACAATTTCTCAATCCATGCCAGGAAACTACCCGAAATCCCATGTGCTTTAATTTTGCTCACTAGCCTTGTATATAGGACCCTATCAAAAACCTTGCTGAAATCCAAATACACAACATACACTGGTTCTCCCTTATCTATTATATTAGTTGTGTCCTCAAAAAAAAACCTCCAGTGGATTAGTTAAGCATCAGTCCCTTTTCAAAATCTCATGTTGACTTTGTTTAATTCTGTCAATGCCTTCCAAATGTTCTGTTATCACATCTTTCGTAGTAGTGTCCAGCATTTTCAATAGGCTCTAACATTTCATGGCTTTGTGGAGGGAAACCCTCCATAACTTTGACGAAAATTGCACTTTGCTAACATTTCAAAAGAGCTCATAAAGGCTATTGAATTAAAACATTAGTACTGTTTTCATATTTGCAAGTACAACATCTGTAAGTGGATTTACCCACTCGAACAGAAAGAGCTGAAATGGCATGCAGGCTGCCCAAATTTCAGCTCTGAACCTCTCTCAGAATGCTAACCCTGACCACCCCGAGCAGATGAATAATTATGCTCAAACACTAAACTGGGTTGGACACTGCCCTTGACTTATTGTGCCAGAATCCCCTGACTGAAGAGAACCTTAACTTGACTGAGAACTACTCCCCTCCAGCTTTGGGACATGTCTATTTGCTTGAAGCACTTGCAGTTGTTTGTTGTTGACATTACTGGCACGTGGTACAGGCATGAGATTGAGATAATATAATGCCGTACAGCAAAATGTCCACCCCCTTGACTAATGGCCGCAGACTACCACGACAAACTGCCTGGCTTTGTGCTTGCACTAAAAGACGGGTCAAGGCAGAAGTACTGTGCCCCCATTAGTTCTGGTTGAGTGGGCAAATGCCAAAATGCAGGGTAAATGTGCTGTGCACTTTCAGGTAGGAGCTAAGTAGGTGAGCGCAAAGACAGCAAGCAAGCAGACCTGATGTGCAACTTGGTCCAATCTGTGAGCTGGGTGCCTGGCCTCATGCACAATGTGTTCTTGTAGCAGCACTGCAATAAGAGCTTTGCTCCAAAGTGCAGGAACAGACTATAAGGGGATCAGAGCTATGTTATGATGGTACGGTAGATGCAGTTATGTGTTGGATGTTAGGATACGTCGATGTGGGGTACAAGTGTTGCCAATGGAGCATGCCCTGGGATGTTGGCACCAGGTATTCAAGATGGTGGTCCAGAGGAACAAGTGGTGAACTGACACTACCAGGTAACTGCTCTGACTTTCTGTCAGGAATTCTGCATCTAGTTTCTGTTTGGCCAGTGGTAGAATAGGAGAGTGTATATTAATAGGGCGAGATTAAGTAATAACAAGGGTGATAATTAAAAATAAATCCCCTTTAATAGACCTCTCACCACTCACCAGCGAGAATCTCACCTCAGCATCTGGGGTGTGGTTGGAAAATGTGATCGTTTTGCTCCTGATGTCAAGAAAAGCCTCATTTGATTTCTCACACAACTCTCCCACATGTTTCACCAGAGCCACACCAATCAGATTCTGTCCATAGTTACCTCAAATGGAGATTGTTTTTGCAGGTCAATCATTTCAGTCCCTGGATATCTCTGCAGGAGTTCCTCAGAGTAGTGTTCTAGGCCCAGCCATCTTCAACTGCTCCATCAATAACCTTCCATCCATCATAAGGTCAGAAACCTGAATGATTGCTGATAGTCAATGCCCTGTACCATTTATGACTCTACAGTTACTGAAGCAGGCCATCTCCATACGTAGCAAGCACTGGACCACTCCTAGGCTTGGGTGGGTGCTGATAAGTGGCATGTAACACTCATCACACACTGGTGCCAGGTGGCTACCCTCTTTCAATAGGAGGAATTTAATAGTCATCTTTTGACTTACAATGGCATTAGCATTGCTGAATCCACTATTATTACCATTCTGGGGTTACCATTTGCCAGAAACTATATTGAACCAGCCATACAACTTGTTCTGACTACCTCAGCTCCTGAATCCCCAAATCCCTGCTATTCCAGACTGCTTGACTGGTATCCATCGAATACTTTCAACATTCATTTTCTCCACCAAAAGGACAGTGGCAACAGTGTGTACTATCTAGAAAGATATTCTGCAATACTGACCAATCTATAAGCTCTACCACCCAAAAGGACAAGGATATGGATCATCACAACCTGCAATTTCCCCTTCAAGCCATATATCACCCTGACTTCAAACTAAATTGGCATTCTTTCACAGTTGCTAAGTCA